TAAGAATTGAAATCCATTATTCTGGAAGGGACCAGATTGTAGAAGGTCAGTGTACTATACTGGGAGGCCAAACTGAGCTGCTGGCAACATGAAACTGAATGCTTTGTTTTGTTTTATATAAGAGAACCTGTCACAAGCTATGTTAACTTTTCTTCTTTGGCTTTTTTTTTTACTTTTAAATATTTCAATAAACATTTTCTCTAGCGTGTGTTGTGCTAGGAAGCTCTGTTTTTTTACAACACCTGAGTACTTCAACTATCACATCTCTATAGCAATAGCAAAGTCAGCCCTGGGAACAAAGGACAAAGGGACAAAGGCCAAAACACACAGGAAGGGCACCACAGCTGTTAGCCATTTCCATTTGAATCTTGCTTATTTCTTAGAAAAGCCTAAAACTCCATTTATGCTCAAATTTGATATGTTTAATTAGAGGGTAAATGCAGCATCTCCTTTTCCAAAGTGGTCAACCTTCTTTTGCTTGCGTGGTAAATTGTAGATATTTGAAGGATTTTGTTATAGTGTACAAGCACTGTAACAACAAACCTGCTTTCAAATCTAAGGGCAATAACATGGGAGTCAGGATCCTGCAAATGGAGTTTTTTCTCTTGCCAGAACAATTCTGTCTAAAAAAGCAACTTCCCTTCCCACCTCACTGTTCTCATTGTTTGGCTAGTCTTGTGCCTTCAAATCACATCTATTTACTGTTGTCCTGTTTGTTTATTGAATGTTAAAATATCTCTCAAAATAACTTAAAAAAAAAGATACATGAAAATAATTTTAGCAGCCAAAAAGGTATATTGTAAAATTTACTCTTGGCCTAGTATGGGTGTGCTAACCCACATTCTGGATGAAATCCAATTTCACTTTGCTCTTTTTATACTTTTTTCCTGTTTAAAAACAGTCTACTTCCTATTCCTCAAAGTATATATGAAAATTGAAATTACATTGAAACTGAAGTATGCTTCATCCTGGTATTGTATAAGATGACTCCAGTATGTCCTGTGTCAGAAAGCCCAGTTGTGTTAAATATCTCCAGAAGGATAACAAGAACAAAGTAGATAGACACTGCAGAAAGATATGAAGGCGATATGAAGAAAGAGTATTAAAACTAGTTTTCTGTTCAGCTTCAGAAATCTGAATAACCTGAACTATAAGAACAAGAAATTTAAATTGGACTTTTACACTTGTTTGTTCATACAAGTACGCACATACTATCTGGCATACAAGTACCACTACACATTTTATAATTCTCAAATCTTGGTTCTGTTTAAGAAAGTGGCCCACTTAAAGTCAGAAAACTCCAGCTTTATTTATACACCACCTGATTACCAAGTACAATAAACTGGTTTTATGCTCCACTTGGGAGTGTCCATTAAATCCGAATTTACATCATGCACATCAGTTTGTTGTTTCCAAGTCATTCATGGAATTACCTAGCAATAATGACATTTGAAATAATAGTGCAAATTATGATTTAATACGCAAGCCTTTCGTGAGGGTGAAGTCTGAGCAAAGATAATGTAGTGAATCCAAAGTTTACTGAACCAGTGTGTATTAAAAAGGGGGGGGAATAGTTTTGGAAAATTATAGCTAATTGTTCCAGGTGTAACCCTTTTATGTACATACCCAGTAGAATAGAGATGGAGAGTAAGGCATCAGTGGTCCCTTTGTTCTGTACTATAAAGGGAACAATTTGGTGAGGGGGGATGATGTACCCAACAGAAACCACGCTTCCCATCCACAAGTTCTTTGACTTATTGAGATTCTAATGCTTACTCTCAGGATTTTTACAGTTCTACTCAAGATCTATCAGCTTAACTGACTCTTGACTGACTTAAGATGACTCTTGCTTAACATTTGGATCATGAATCAACTGAAGAAGCTTCTTGGGTAAGAAGTGAAACATTTTCAAAGGAAAAAAACCAAGAAAGTCCAGTTGCCTTTGGGAAAAAGCACCAATGGAATAACCATGACCTGAGAATTTCTATGGACAACTGGTAGTTATGGCAGAAGGGACTTTGGGCTCTGCTTTTGCTTTCCTTATTGAAATGCCATTTGGAGGACATGGCTTCCCATTACTTTCTGAACCATTCCTTGGGTGGTTATTAAACAAACTCCCGAATATTACTATTATATTCTGTATTATTGTGTCTGTTCAAAGTTAAATGTCCTTATTACTTTTGATCCCTTAATCTTCTCTTCCTTGATATAGATCACTAAAAGGAAGAGAATTGCAAAAGTAACAAAATGAAGATTACAAAGTGTAGTGTGATTAATTTTCACATCCTACCAAACTGCTAAATTAGAGAAAGGAATAAGGTTGACACCTTGGTCTCAACTGTTACGACACCCAAACAACTCCCCCATTGGTACCCCAAGCCATTTGGCAAAACCACGTTTTAAGATTCTTATGAAAAGTCAGGAGAATGGAAGCCAATCTCACCTCAGGAGATAAGATATTTCAAAGGGCAAGAGCTTCTTTTTTCTATAATCAATAGGAATATCAAGAAGTGTAGTGCAAAAAACAGTAGAAGACACCAAGTGACTGACTTCGGCTCTATTATGTAGCTCCATTTCAATGGCAATGAATTTATTAATTTGTTTGTTTGTTTTGTGAATGGCCACATGTACTGAGCACTGGATCCTCTGGAAAAAAACTTTCAAGATTTCCACTTAATTTTTTCTTTCAAGAAAACCAGATGATTATTTTCCACTGTTGCTACTGAATGAATGTGAAAAATAGCTCATCTTACAAACAACAATCCTTCAAACAATATATAGATTGAAATAGAGATGCAAGTTAAAGAAAATCTATTGATATAAGAGATAGCCCATTAAGAAAAAAATCCAATTTTTAAGCCAAACCGATCAATTGCTTGCATTCTCAATTGTACAATTTAATCTTCAAGACATGTAATCTGAGGAAGGACTTCAAGGGAAAATGGCAGACTGGAAGGCAGCTCTGGAGAAAAGCAGTCGACACTAGCAGTATTAACAGTCCTCTCTGGATCAATCAAAGACGTGAAATCACCCAAACTATTTCTTACAGTTGTTCCTCTTCCTCATAAATGGACCATAAAACAGTGATTCCTGGTGTGTGGAGGGTAATTGGGACACAGGAGGGATTCACAATATTTACTCCAGCTGCAAACAGAGCTTTTTAAAGGTCACTAAGTTTGTGCACTTCTCTTGAAATTGCCTATTAATGGCTTCAGTGAAGTTAGACACCGCAAAGTGACAAGGTTGGAAATACCAGATGAGTGCCTTCAATCCTCAGTAAAAGTTATTTGAAAATTTATTTTTATAATCTTAAAACTCAAAATGAACAGCAAAAAGCAAGACAAGGTTTTGGCCTCAAAGTTTTATAGGGTCAGAAAACATTGAGCTTTGGACTTTGAATATTAAAACTTCGAAACTATTTTTTAAAGATAAATGTATCCTTGCTAGTGAGAAAGAAAAATTGTTTGTGAGATTGGAGATGTAATAAGACAAATAATCTATAATGACATTTTGAGACATCTTTGAGAAACTGCACAGGGACCTACCTCATAAATTTAATTTGATTATGTCAGATATTGTGTGTTCTTGAGAACAGTATGTTACAGAAAAATATATGCAGCAAAATTTACCCAACAAAAATATGAACGAGATTCTGAAAAAGAATTTGTCACCAGATATAAAGAGAAAACTGACTAAGATTTTAAAAAATTAAGAAGGAATTAAAAATTATAATCCCAGAGAACAATTTCAATAACTTCCTTTTGCTGGATTTGCTTAAAGTGCTAAAGAAAGCTGTAACAAGGATCAACCTCATGAATGGATTACAGAAGACAGTTCTGTATGGAAGAAAAAATTGGAGCTTATTTTTTGTTAAGGAGAAATGGTATTTGTAATTAATATTAAAATCCTAGTATTCTGTTTGAACCTTTTGCTGATAACAGGATTAAGATGTGATTTACTTGATTTGCGGGTTATGGGATGAAGTATTTATTAGTAAAGAGGAGGTGAAGAGAACATGGACATATTTACACTTGCCACGATGAGGGTTGCTTTTTTGAGAGAGGTTGTTTCTATATATTTTTTCCTTGCAACTTTTTATTTTTTTTTCACTTCTAGTTTGTATTAATGTCTTTACCAGGACAATCCAAAGGTCGCGAAACCATTAAGCTTTTCAATCTTAAAAACTTTTCACTATTTAGTTGCCAAACAATTAAAAAAAAATCTTCTAGGATGTTTTTCACCTTCGCAGTCTAATCTGCAGCTCTGAAATCTGATCCAACTATTGAGGAGGTCCTTTTTGACTTGGCTCTTCCAAATCAGAAAGGTGTTACCATCTGCTGTGTCCAAGAATGACTTGTGCAAAGCTACCCTTAAGTTTCCACAGATGGATTTAAATTTGGGTCTCCCGGGGCCAGTTTTGATCCCGACAGGAGAGTGGCTCTGTATTTTTCAGATCTCAGTCCTTGGCTGATGAAATGCATTGCTCAATTTCTGGACAAATGGAAACAGTCATCAAAAAACATTTTTGCAAACCTAAATCTAAATTAACTCTCCGAACTCTGCCATAAAAGGAAAGAAAATAAACTTGGCAAACTGCATTTGTTGTACCCTTATATCGATAGCGAGGCTGTACAAAGCATCCAAAAGCTGTAACAGTTTTCCCTGCACCGTTAACAGTAGTCAGATACTCTGGCTCGGGCGATCGTAAAAAAAATAGTAATAATAAAAAAACTACAACTCCCAGAAGACATTGGGGGGGGGAACCTGAAGGAAGAGCTTTTGTCGGGTTTTGGTTTAGTTGCGAAATGACTTCTGGGACATGTCGTTCAAATGGTTCGATGGCGGCGTAAATTCCAACAGGCCTTTTCGGAGCGAGAAAACTTATCGTCCCATCAAGCATCGGGAAAGCGAAGCCGGGAACCGCGCGCCGAATCCGGAGTCGAGCGGCGAGGGCTGCGCGCGCAGGTGGGAGAAACGGGCCCTTGCAGGTGAGGAGTTCCACGCAGTATCTTGAAAGGGCAGCTGCGTAAGCGGCCGTTGGTCCCGGAGGTCTGGGAGAGAAGCGGGGCGTGTGTGGGGAGAAGGGTATGCGAGAGGGTAGTTCTGTGGGGACGGATCAGGCTGAGAACGTTCCCCAATAAGCCGCCCGCGATATCTCCTGGTTTTTAATAGCCCCGCCCTCTTAAATCGTAGGTCTAATTATTTTTAAGCCCCTGGTTGACCCTTATACGAAATTGATATTAAGATTATTTTTGTCCTGCCTCTTGGGACAGTGAATTTTTCGAAGCAGGTGGATTCAGATTTTTTTTTCCTTTTTCTTTTGGAGTCAATTTTTTTTTTTTTTAAGACTCGAGAGTGAAAGCTCTTGCAGGTTACCTGCTTGGGATTATATCATTAGGTTCACAAAGGCGAGAGTCAATAATTTATAGGAGAAGAAGCAGCCCTTCTCTGTAGGAAATCATTATAACCGCGCTTTGCACGTTGAGATCTCCAAATTGTGTAACAGAGGTATGGTAATGTGGCAGTGCTCACATAAATAATAACTATTGCATAACAGCAATAGTTGCATAGTTTGCTTTTATTTATTTTATATTTTGCCCTTTGTTCCCCCCCCCTTTTTAAATAGGGAAAATGCTATTTTTCAATTTTAAATGGCTTTTTAAAATATATTTCTTAGTGTGATTGATGTATTGATTATCAAATGCAAAGACATATATATTTGGCAAGCCAGCCTGCTTTCTTCTTTTAGATATGTATATTAATATCTCTGTAATAGAGGATAACTAATTTATGAATCGCATGGCCTCCAAAAAAAAAAACCAATGCATTAAGCATTCCTTGGTAAGAAAGGAAAGCTTTCCCTCAGTTAAGGTTTTCTCACTTCCTCTTAGTTTTCCAAAATCACAAGAAAGCTGTGGACATGTTGCAATCATGGATTCAGGCCCATCAGATAAATATATCTGTTAAGTCTGTCTTAAACAAAGGATTAAAAAAAAAAAAGGAGCAGAGCCAGTTTGGTCTAATGGTTAAGGTATCAGGCTAGAAAGTGGGAGACTGTTGGGTTCTAATTCTGCCTTAGCTATGAAAGCTAGCTGGGTAACTTTGGGCCAGCCGCCTTCTCTCAGCCCAATCTACCCCCACAGAGTTGTTGTGGGGAAAATAGAAGGAGGAAAGGGTGTTTGATATGTTTACTGCCTTGAGTTATTTGTAAAAATAATACAAGCAGGATACAAATAAGATAAAAAAATAAACTTAATTTATTTCAATAGCATGAGCTTGAAAGGGAAGGAGAAGATAATATGCTCTTTGGCTTTCCCACAGTTGAGATAGCAAGGATCAAGACTACTATGGAAGATTTTGATGGGGACTTCAGTCACAGAAAAACCATTATGTCTGAATTATGTTGCAATCAGATTGCTGCAAACATCCTGTGAGTCTTTTCTCTCTGGAACAATTTTATTGTTTACTGCCCAACCAGGGGGGAGGAGGTGAATGGATCAGAGAGAGAAACAAAAAAAATCTATAATATGCACAACCTGTAGTGGATTTCTTTAATCTACATTTCTTAGTCCTTGGAAAACAGATAACTTGAGTTTGATTCTTTTTCTGATCTCATCCAATTATAGTCTTATGCTTGATGATTTAATTGTATTGTATTAACATTTGGTTGTTAGCGATGGTTTAAACAGTCCTACAGATCCATTGGTGTGTAAATCCCAACAATGAGGTACAGTACTTGCTGTCTTTGCCTAGTGTGCAATAATATGTTGCCCCAAAATTTTACTAGACATAAATTAGATTAATAAATAAATATCTTTGCTTTCCAATTTTAAAATAATTATTTGTAGATGATAACATTGCAAAGCTAGAGGGTACACTTATCAAAGTGACAAGTACTATTGATATACTAGAAAATTGCAACTCCACATTTTTTGATTGCGCTGATGATATGTCCAACCTCTTACTGCCAGGGTACAGGATCTCAGAACCTTGGTGGCTTTTACTGACCCAGAGGATGGAATACTGGTTCATACTCCAGATGGTGAGTGGCTAGTAGGTTCTTCCATGCCTGTTTACCATCACCATAAAGTACTTTGTTGGACAACTCTTGTCAAATACAGTTCTCCTGTGATGGGGAATCTATCACTAAAGAATGAGAATACTAATACTGTTGGGCTACTAAACATGCTTAAGTACCTAAAAAGGCTTTCAGACTTCAGAAATAGTGTGAACTTGTGCCAGCAAACCACATGTTTGTCTATACACAAAAGTATTACAGAATTGTAATTAATTCAGAGCACTAAACATTCTGGATGCCATTGTAGAGAATTGTCAAAACAAAACAAAGTTGCTTTATGTGCCAGATTTGTACACAATCCTTCCAAGTGGTAATAGTTGCACATCAGCGCAAAGATATCATTATATTAGAAATGCACAAGAGGGAACACATAATTTATCAAAGAAGCCACTAGTTTATGCTAAATATTATCTCTGTCCTTAAATAAAAAGCAAAATGTGATGGTTATAGATTGTTTAATACCACCAAGTTTTTAATTCTCACAATTTTGGGTAATATTCTGCAGTAGATCATAGATTTCCTCAACTTGCATTTTACATTTCATTTCTTATAAGCAAGAACTTTGCTTTCATTTAAGGTGGCTGATCTTTAATATAAGTTCTTGGTAGGTTGTTACTGATAGATTACCCACTATTCTTAATGAAATCTTAATAGACTCAGCCTTCCATCCTTTCTAAGGTAGGTAAAATGAGGACCCAGATTATGGGGGCAATAAACTGACTTTGTATAAATATACAAAAGTATGAAAGCTATTGCTTAACGCATTGTAAGCCGTCCTGAGTCTCCGGAGAAGGGCGGCATATAAATCAAATTAAATAAAATAATTAAAATAATTAAAATGAAGTTCTGTTCCCTGGGCTAAAATCTAAAGCACTAAAAATTGACCAGTTGAGAGTTTCTCTGCAAATTTGATTATTAGATGTTTGCACTTATAAAAAGAGATGCACCAATGGCATTCAATCTGGAAAGCACAGCAGAAATAAGTTAGAATGTATACTCTTGTAAAATCATAATAGCATGGCAAGTTACAGGATTATAGATTTATTTAAAAATAAATAGGAAAAAAATCACATATCACAAGAAATCTTGTAGTAGAATCTACTTAGAATCTATTTATACAATGTCAATATCGTTTATAAAAACAAAAGTGATCCGAGCTGGGATAATAGATTAAGGTTTCTCTTTTAATTTTTCTCTTTCTCATTTTGTTTTAAAGTTTTGGTACTTTTGAACTTGTAATCCCCTTATGTAAATGAAGAAGCAGGTATCAATAATGTGTCCTTACATATTTGCATGTAACTCTTCCTTTTTGTTCTAGGAGGTGTTAAACATCCTCTGAGAAACAGCTGAAAAACGTATTTGGTTGCAGAAATACCCAAATCAAGTGATCATCAAGAATGGGAGACGAAGGTGCAGGTGAACCCTTTGTGGGTATTGTGACTGATGGGGACACAGATTACGAAGGCATCCTTCCCTCAGATACAATTTCCCTGAGTGATTCAGATTCAGAAGATTTTGAGTTTGCAGGCAGTGCTGAAGTTGATGTTGTGTCCCCTGAGGAGCCGCTTCCTTCAGATGACGTGGATTGTGAATCAAATAAGAGTGGGGACTCTTTGCACAACAGCAAAAAATCAGTTGTTCAGCCCTTTCATTTGAAAGGCATGAGCTCAAGCTTTTCACAGCGCAGCCAGAACATTTTTGATTGTCTGGAAGGAGCAGCCAAGCAGGCAGTGCCCTTGACGGGTGAAGACAATGTCATTGATAAAAGGTTTAAAATCCCTCTGCCACCACTCAGCCTTTCAAACAAGATGACTGCGGAAAGCTTTGGAAAACAACGTGAGCCAATTCAGTCTTATAAAAGTTCCCCGCCAGTACCTGATTATGTGGCCCATCCAGAACGCTGGACCAAGTACAGTTTGGAGAATGTTGCAGAATGTAGTGATGATACCAACAGATCAATTGCTATGGAGTTCTTGAGTGGCTTGAACAAGGGTAGAAAGGAACAAAGCTCAACACGTCCTGAAAATTATATACCATCTTTCAACCAGGATGCTTCTAGCTCTGGTGCAGGAAGAATTATCTTTAATAAACCAGTAAAGGCAGGCTTAGACAGATCAGACAAAAAAAGGGGAGCTTCAACAGAGGAAAAGTTGGAGGCCAACATTATTAATGCAAACCAAGAGGCCAGTGGAAGGCCTCTGGGTAACTTGGATGCCCAGAACAAAGGTGATGTAGTTGTACTAGGTCCCTCAGAAAGCAAGGAGAAAAAAAAGGAAGATTGGGAGCCACTGAAATTGGAAGAACGAGGTGCTCGAAGAGCCAACACAGGTTCTCCAGAGGTGCCTGAAGAGAATGTGACAACAACCATTGGGTTTCACGGTAGCAAGAAAAGAAGTAGGAAACATTTCCGACCCAAAGCTAACCATGATGAAGAAGAAGAATCCTAAAAGCCAGAAACATATTTGTCTTTTTCCAGTGATAGCTTACTCAGAATATTATCTTCATCATTTGCATGAATTTGGGCAATTGTTTCCTTAACATGCTTGTTGCTGTGACTAAGAATACTTGTAACTTTGCCCTTTCGAACAAAATCCCGCTGTGTTTTGCAATAAATATAGAACATTTTGCCTTGACATAGTCCAACAATATATGTGGAGTTTCTGTTTATGAAGGGAGGCTCAGCTATTCATACCAAAACTTTTTGACAGTATACTGTATTAATATCTCAACCAATTCATAACTGACAAAACATATCTTGTGGATGAGGTACAAGATTTATCAGTTTATTGTAGCTGAGGCAAAGGTTTAACCAATATTATTCCACAGTATGAATAAAAATAAAAGCATGAAATATGACAACTCGTACGTTGTTCGGCTAGAGACAAGAAAATGTAAACATACAGTATGTTAAGATCATAGAAAAAGTGTTAAGGAATTTGAAGAGATGCTTTCTAAAATTAAAATACAGCCAACCAAGCCATACTTAGACTTGATTGGTTCAGACTGTTGAATTGCTACAACTTCCTTGAAAACTGAAATATTTTTTTCCCCTCCATACTTGGAAGCTTCTTCTAAAGTACATGGATTTGTGTCGACCAAACTGTTTATGAAAGAATAAAGGAGCTTAAAATAATATTTCTAGCAGAATATCCATTTGATATTTTTGGTGTTAATAAAACTTGGGAACAACTGCTTAATTAGGTTGAAAATTCTGTACCTGCATGTTAGCAGCTAGCCATTCGTGTCAAAAACTAGTTTTCTCTCTACTCTTATGGTACCCATCTTTACCCATTATCCCTTTTCTACTTATCACACTTTCTGCCTTCACATTTAAGGAAGCAAGATGCCGTCTCGTTCAGCTAAAGTTCTCTTGTACAGCTACCCCAGCATTACTCTCACCTTGGCATGTTTGGTCATGAATAAATGCATTGGTTGGAAAAAAAATGTTTTATTCCTATTTATAGGCAATGCTCATTTAGCTATCACAATTGGAAATGGTAACTCGGTCATTAACAAAGCAATCACTAAGTGAAACTGCAGCAATGCTTATTATCTTACTTTTGCTTTATAGGAGTTTTGCTTTAAAGTCCTGAAAGATCATAAATCTGACTATTGGTCACAAAGTTACTTTTTCATCACAGTCTTAACTGCGGTCACTGTCTGGGGCAATTGTTAAATTGGGACTACCTATATATGAGAATGCCTAATGCAGTCTAATTATTTTATACAAAAAAGACATTAAATGTTTGGATTCAAACTTTTGTACTACAATGACGCTAAAAAAATAAGGGTTATGTAGTTGTACTATTAACTCATGATTAGTGGAAAATAGCAAGATTGGAAACTTACTACACTAGTAATATATAACTAAGTTCAAGATGAAAGGCACAAAATGGGGGAAGCAGATAAATGAATACTATATACAGTTATATCAAGGAAGGATAATTGAAAAGCTCAGAAGATACATAAATGTTCCTTGGTTATAAGAAAATATTGAAAGGTTTGGTCTAAATTAGGCATGTTAAACACAAGGCCCGTGGGTTGGATTCGGCCTGCAGTGTTGGTCCGATCCACCCCGTGGGGACATCCTGGAAAATGTAAGGGGCCAGGACACATTGCTTCAGTCCGGTCTACCCGCATTATTTATTTATTTATTTATTTATTTATTTATTACATGTATTTATATGCCGCCATTCTCCCGAAGGACTCAGGGCGGCGAACACAAGTTAAGAAACAAGTACAATAAAATCATAATTTAATCCAAATAATTAAATAGTAGTAAATAATAGTAGTACTTCAGCCTGGTCTACCCAATGTTCTGTCCCCGTACCACACACGCACCCCCACAGACGGCCTGGAGTTAATAAGCCACACAACAAAACTCTTTGAAGATAAAGCTAGCAGCAACCCAGTGGCTAGCTGCCAATTCAGACTTTACTCACACAAAACAAAGATTAGACTGCAAGCATTCCGATAAAACAGGCAGAGTTTCAACAATACAAGGATTAGTCCAAATGCAGTCCGATAAAGCAGGCAAAGTCCAGTAACGCAGAGATCATGGATTATTTTCAGTTTTTGCTCATCACAAACTGAACCGGCCACCACACCCACATTTTTACCCTGTGGGGTGTGGTCCAGTGACTCAGCTAATCTCTGGCACGCCTTCCCCTCTGCTGCGCACGCTTCTCCCTGCGCCTCTGCCGAGGGTCCAGCCAGCACTTATCTTCTTCGTCGCTGACCACCTGTGGCTGCGGGGACATGCTTGGCTCTGAGCCTATCTTTTGGCCTTCGGTGTCCTCCAGAGGCATTGCCAGAGAGGAGGGTCCTGGAGAGGGAGGCCTTGCCAACTTCTCTCCCTCACTCTCAGAGTCTGCATCTGTCGATAGCCCAGGCTCAGGCAACGGAGCCACAACACCCAGTGCGAAAACATGGAAGCATGCCAGCAATTTGGGGAGTGGCATCAAGCTGGCCACGCCACACAGTTGGCCATGCCCGACCGGCCCCCTGAGGTCAACCACAGCCCTGATGCGGCCCTCAATGAAATTGAGTTTGACAAATTGGTCTAAATGAATTTACAGAGTCATAGCATAACATTTATTTTAAAGATGAAGATCAGAATAAAAAAACATTTTTGAGATTTCAGTAGATAATTTACTGGAAACACATTGGATATAATGTAAAAGAAAGGCAATATGTAGTTATGACACAGTGGTGCTCTGACATTAAAAGAAAATATCCATTAGACAAAATTATATGGAGAAATCAGTTATCAATATACATCACATCGTCAAACTGACTGGTATCTACCCCATCTTCATTTTCTGGTGCAACCATTTGATCAGTGCCTGCATTTATGAAACATGAAAATTTAAATGAAAATATTGGTTATATAAAGAATGAGCAGCTATAGTGAGATTTGAACAAATTACTTCTTATAATTCCACTTATCAAGGCTAGCTTGTCTTTTTAAAAAACCTTACATATTTTCTGTGTATTTCAGTAGAGATGTTAAAGAATGGGAAAATAATAGATCTGCAATCTTTAAAGATTAATCTGGCAAATTGTGGACCAAATTCCACTATCTCGTGCCTAGAGAGGTAGAGAAAACAGTTCCATTTTTATACTGACTTTGTACATGGTTATTATTTTTTTCTTAAATGAAAGTCCATTTGTGCTTACTTTTAACATATATTATGTTTATTTTTACCATGAGAAAGAGGTATGAGATCTTCCATATTCAAAAGAAGCCCTAATCCCTAAAATCTGGGAACTCTTGGGCAATGCTATCTTAATGCTCATAATTAGATAAGTGAGATTTTTGTTCTCGTTAGCAGGTGTTAAAATTAACCAGCTATGTGGATAATTTATGCTGTTGTGTGTGGGATATTTTCTCCCCACCTATATGCAAATCTTAAATATCCCAAGTTTGATATTCAAATGCCTCTCCTGTACCTGCCAAGGGAGTATTGTGCTATCTGAAGGTTAATAATTATATAGCATATTCATTTTAGTGCAGAGAAACATAACTGTAAGAAATAGGTATGTTTGAAGACGCCACAAGGCTGTTCCAAAGGGAGAGAGCCTGCTTATTTTGTTTTGGTATTTTCAGGTCAATTTTGACTCCTGGTAACTGGACAAGTCCCTGTGAGTTTTCTTGGCAAGATTTTCAGGAGTGATTTGTCTTTGCCTTCTCCTTAGGGCTGAGAGTGTGACTGGCCCAAGGTCACCCAGCTGGCCACATGCTCAAAGAGAGGCTAAAACCCACAGTCTCTCTAGTCTGGTGTCTAACCACTACACTTCCAAAGTTACTTCTGTGGTAATGAGCACACAGAGGAGCAGACTTGCTGAAGCTAAGTAGGTCCTAAATTAGGCTGTACATTCCTAGACTATCGGAACAGGCAGAAAGAATAACCAGAGGATGAGCTGCAACCAAGACAACTGTCAACTAAAACCTGAGTCCGGGGCAAAACTGTAACCTGAGAAAGTATCTCAGACAAGCTACTCCCTAGTTCACACAAAGGGAGGGAGGGAAGAAGCACATTCAGACTTGCAAGATTCTGTTACTGCTGTTAACACCTTATGAAAGTAATGAAAGTCTGCCTTGAAGGGCTGACAGCTACCTTCAGATAGATCAAAGATGTTGAAATTGTTTCAGTCTGAAAATGTGTTTTTGAAGGGCACTCGATATTATCTAGTATGTAGCAAAACTAGTTTGGCTAAAGTGCCTGGCATCGAGAGGTGACTTTGTCTCCTATGTACCAAGCCAACATTTTCCTCATATTTTCACATAGGAGGTTAAGCTGGAATGCAGAGGGATTGCTATGGACTACCTAGGTCCATGATGGCAAACCTATGGCACACGTGCCATAGGTGGCATGTGGAGCCACCTCTGCGGGCACACGAGCCGTCGCCCTAGGTCAGCTCCATCGTGCATGTGCGCGTGCCTCCTGCCAGCCAGCTGATTTTTGGGTCTGCGGAGGCACACGTACATGCACGGAGGGATGGGGGAGCATGGGGGGGATTGCGCGTGCATGCACAGGGGGGCGTGGCATGCAGGGGGCATTGCATTATGGGTGTGGGCACACATGCGCTGTCACACACATGCACACTTTCAGCACCCAAGGAAAAAAAGGTTAGCTATCACTGACCTAAGTCCTAGCCAGTCAAAAGCAGTGGCAACATTTTAAATTCCTAACCATTACATCATTGTGTTTTTCTTTATAATATAATGATTAAGAAAATAAGGTTTACACATTCCTAAAGGCTATGGCTTGTTTCTCATAGTTAATTAAATAAAGCATTTTTTTATCGGCACAATTTGTTAAGCATCATTAATTAAAATGGCTGGGCTCACAAAATCCAGCTCAACCCCCCAAAAAACCTTCATTATAACTGAATGCAATGTATGAATTCATAGCCATTGTACTTAGCACAGTTATGGAAGCTTCCACAGCAATTCTGGTGTGTATTGTGTATTAGGCTGGTTTTTAATGGATTTTAGGGTTTTTTTTTACCCTGTTTTGCATTCCTCCCCCACTCCACCCAATCTTTATTAGCACATTACTCACATGTGTAGTTTGAAGTTGGCCTGCTGAAAAATAAACTGTTTTTCACTAAAGTATCTGCCATTGAAGAAAGTATAACTGTGCAATAGCTAATCTGCATAATAAAAACAAATTATTTGGATACCATTACTATTAAAGACATACTACAATTATAATACTAATTATAGCAAAGTTCTCTGAAATCAAAGCTGATGGCATAGTGGTTTGGTTTTGTGATACAGTCATAGAATCAGAATGTAGATCATAGGCTGAACTTTAAAACCCTCTACCCATTAACTTCTGGGTAGGCTTACTTCTAGGTACTGTAATTGCATATACTGTAGTTTCTTCTTAGCTCTTTTGTCCAATTGAGACCTTTGAATCTATGAACTGTTTATTAGGTTTAGAATCCAAACTGTCCTTTGAATGTAACATATTTCGAAGGTATATTTATTATTGAAGTATCCTTCTGGAGAAGGCCATAAACTATTGTTTATCCACCTCACCTAAGCATGCCCCAAACAAAAAAAAAAATTGATTGATGCATGAAATCCTATCATGATTTCTGAATGTTGATCTTGGAAATATATATATGAACAAATAAAAAATGGTGCAACTGAAGCATAAAAAGAAAATCTTACTTGTGATTCCAAAGATCTAAGCTGTTTCTCTTGCTCTTTTAGACCATTAAAATTCTTTAAAAGGCTGTCCACCCTGTTTTAAAATAAACCAAGAATAATAGAGTCAGAAGAAGAACGTTGTCATAGAGGAGATCCTGAAGAACTCAGTAGAGCTATCTATCCAAGACATATTTAGAATAGTTTCTACTGCAAATAATTTCTGTGAATTAATAATTATCCATCTAGGAAATGAACAGTGAGATTGATTGAATCCATCCAC